ATTGACTATCTATGGGGGTGTAACAAACAGTTATGACTGGGTCCCTGGCAAACAGTCAGTGTGGTTGTGTATATTAAACTTATTATTCAACGTAACTTTATTTTTTTCTTGATAAACATTTTTTATCATTCATTCATGTATTCAGTCTCAAAAATATTAGAATGCTTGGCTCATATGTTATGGCATTTTTAATTACGAATAACTGGCTTGATTCCTATCTTGAAACCCTGAAACTGACAGTTAAGAGCTAGAAGGTGAAATATACCTGTTTGTTTTCTCGGGATTTTTGTTATAAACTATTTATAATTAATCGATTAAGGCCGCACCATCACTCTTTATTTGCTTCATGATTGGTTCAATAAAACATGAAGCTCATTTGAGTTAACCTGCTCATGCGCACACATAACAGCGCCACCTTTCTAATCATTTTCACAGTTGTTTTTACTGGCGTTTTTTAATATTGATTTTTACGGCTGCATTTAACTTTTGGCTTAAAAGAAGACAAGATTAGCGAACTTATTACCGTAAGTATACCGAATAATTGTTTTAATTCGTGCTGTCATATATGAAACTTCCACTTCGATTGGTGCATGGTTATACTGTGTGTGTTTACTTTTCTTACTGTGCTTCTGTTTCTATATCATTTTCTTTTTGGTGTTAGTAGATGCACTTCAAAGCGTTTTAGGGCAATTGTACTCATAGTCTTTAATAAGCAGAATTTTCCCGTCCAAGTCGATGTACGTTTGCATATGTTTTTTTCACAATGTTTTTTTCTTCTTAAACATAAATTACTAAATGAGGAAGTCTGATTCCTTAATAAGCCTCACGGCTTCAAATCTGACTTCCTTTCCATTATCATAAATATCATTTATATGCATAGAATTTGTATATAATGAATATCTAATGGCAAATAAACTGTTATACTGTTATACTGTTATATGGTGAGAATGTCATAATATTGTCTTGATAGCCATCAACGTTTCGTTAGATCGTTTTTAACTTTATACAAGCGATGAAGTTAATGACCTTACTTAATGCAAAGAATTTCCCGCAAAGAATAGCACCAAGTCTAGATGAGCGTAAAAAACATACCAAACATTTAAAAAGTGTAAAATCGATTGAATTAATTATATGTAGAGTTTGAAAGACTGCCAGATTAGAATGTCGTCAGTTCGTGCTTAATGCTTTCATATGTTAATGTAATTTTGTAGTATTTTCGCCTGTCGTAATGTCTGCTTTTCGAAATGAAAGAGTGTCGCACCAGAAATACCTGTTATCGTTAGGATCCGCATTTTGTACAAATGTCGTCTGTACTACTACCAAAAAATATTAGTTTCCATACATTTGAAAAGATGTCCGAGTCAGTTTTTACAAGGGGTGTCCGTATTACGGTGGTCGGTTATACAAGTGGTGACCTTATGCGATGCGATGAACTTTATTTAAAGAGGGTGACGCAATAACTAAACCAGTGAGTTATCTAATTAACTCATGGCCCTCACGTAGCTCCAAAAAGGAGGTGTCCGTATCACGATATGGTTCTACTTACTAATGTCTCTCATCTTCCTTCCTCCCTCCTTCCCTGCCTGCCTGCCTGCCTGCCTGCCTGCCTGCCTGCCTGCCTGCCTGCCT